CTTCTTACGGTCGAGAATAGCCGTTAAATTCTCACGTTGTAACGGTTAAGGATAGCCGTATAAATCCTTGGGTAAAGGTTCAAGGATAGCCTTTGAAATCCTTGGGGGAACGGTAGAAGATAGCCGTTAAATCTTCATTGTAAACGGTTCGAGATAGCCGTTGTGAAATCTCGGAGTGAATCCTATTGGCAAGGGTTGTTTGCCAAAACTAGTGCGGTGCTTTGACGGAGTTCAAGAGGCCGAGACTTAGTGGATTCGAAAATCCTTGAGGAGGAGCCTCGAGGTACTGGAGTAGGGAGTTCCCGAACCAGTATAAAATTGGTGTGCATTTTATTTACGCTTTTATTTCTGCGTTTTATATATTGCTTCCGCATTTGCCAACACCATTTTTACTTAACTCCGAAAAGTTTTTAAACGCCTTATTCACGCCCCCTCTAAGGCGTGGGCACAACGACTAAACCGAGTAACATTGAGTGCTTATAATACTAGATCTGAGACTTCCATAATCCTTTGTTGTCCAATCCCATCAAGAATTGGTGAACTTTTTCTTTATCTAGTTGTATGGCAAGAACCAAGCTTACGCACACTTGCATCCATGACACTTGCACGTAGAAATTTTTTCATGATCACTGAGTTCATCCCCGATCCCTTTTAAGTTTCCAAAGTATGTAACAATGGACTACCCGTTTTGCTTGCAATTTGCAAGTTCTTTGTTCAGATTATGAATTGGCGGGCCATTTGCAACTGAAAAACGGTCCTTTATATCTATCCAGAGTTTCATAGCCTTCTCAACCTGCACGATGGAATTTCTCAAGCTTCCATCAATGGTGTTGTAAATCCATCAAACTAACATGACATTCACATTCCACCATTCTCCATAATTTTCGTTTCCCTCTTCAGGACAAGGGATGGATCCATCAATATCACCATTTAATTTAACTTGAGTGATGATTAATTTGAGTGTATCGACATTTTTGAGTTCATATGAACTTCCCTTTGTTGAGGCCTTCTCTTCGTCATCGAAAATTTTTCCAGTCATGAGCTCCTCTGTTTTTGTCATATTGACGACGGCGATGGTAGTCCGACTTAGGATTCGAAATTTCCTATGTTCGCTGCTCCACTACCATGTAAAAAATAATAAGTGAAAAAAAAATTCTATATATTGAATTATCTTGTAAAATACAAACATCTAATCGCCTTTATTTAGGAAGAGGAACAAAGCAAATAAGTAAACTACCATAATTATACACCTATCATGGTTTTATTTCCACCACAATAGGAATTACATTAAATAAGGAAAGCCAATAAAATTTCTCCTTTTCCCTTTTGTATTTGTCACGCCAATAATTTTGTGTGAAGCACGAGATAAAAAGTGGTGTATCAATGTACTAAGCACTAATATTTACAAGTTTGTTATAAGAATAATCTTTACAAATTCTTCCTAGTATTTGCTAGTACAATTGTAAGAGAACTTGCTTGTGTTATTTGTGTATGTGTCCATATATGAATACACACACACACACACACACACACACACACATATATAGGGGCCAGTTCCCGTGAGAATGCACCTTGTGGAGAGAAATGAGAATAAAATCTAGCCGTTGGATCTGATGCATCGTGCGGCTCAGATTGCATCTTGCGCTCAGATTTTGAGATAATGTATTTTCAAAATATTTTGGTGCATTTCGACGTGATGCATTTTAAAACCATTTTGGTGCATCTGATTTGATGCAATCGTGACCCTTAGATCTCACAATCTAAAGCACCAGATTCATTCTCATTTCTCTCCTAAGATCGTATTCTCACCAGAACCAAAATCTCTCTCTCTATATATATATATAGACACACACACACTCCATATACATAGAGGGGAAATGGATCAAAAAGGGGGATATATTTGCATTTGACTTAATATGTTTTCAAAGTTATCAGTAGATTTCTGAATTGGGTGAGAATGGACGCCTTCATAGGTAGTTACCACAACCCCTTCATCTGTGGATAACCTTTGAACTTGTTTCTTTACGCTACATCCTTGATGTGTGCACCTATAGTAACTCCTACAAAATTAGAATATTTTTTCTTGTAGTTAGAGATCGGGGGAAGTAATTAATCATGAGTAATGAGATATGTAACACACTAAACAAGCAATCCTATTTTCTAAAATTTTGGCTCCCTTGATATAATGTCCATAAAATTGATAGTTCTTAACCCTCTCAACCGCGGTAAGCCCTCTCATCCCGTCCCGAACCCACCGCCGTACTCTCTTTAATTGCATCCCCTAAGTTTAATTAACTTTAGAGTCAAAATTCTGACTCCAAAATCAATTAAACTTGGAGGATGAAATTAAAAGGGTGGGGCAGCGGCTTTGGGGCGGGGCGGGGTGAGGGGTTTACCGGGGTAGAAACCTTAAATTTTATGAATAGAGCATCGTGCAACCCCTGAATCATCCTATGATATTGCTTAGCAATGTCAAGGAAACCGCCCTTCTTCTAAGTATCTCTAATAAATTTATTGTGAATTGTCATGCAAAAAAGAGGTAAGGTGCAACCGTTCAAGGGCAGTGTGAGGAGGCTACTATGTAGAATTCATTTCGAATGGAATGAAACACAATAGGATCTTCAAATAAATCTAATGTTATAATATGACATTAATTGTAAATCTAAAAAAACTAGAAAGTGTAAAAAGCCCAAAAAACACGTTTTTTACTCCACACACATTAGGAATTAGGCATCTTTGAAGGCAAATTCTTTACTCGACTTGTTGGTACTATTTCATAGATCTTAATATATTTATAGCATAATAGAAGTGCGTCTTTTGTATAAAAAAAATGCAGATGCAAGTCTATAAAAAAATGTGAAAAGGTCCATATTTTTAATGTGAACTTTGAGACCACGGAGGCTAAGGATATACTCCAAAACTTTTAACTTTTAACAATTTTTAATTATTTCTTTTTCTTTTAAACTTTTTCAGTTTTCTGAATATCCGCCAATTTTTTTCTAATCTTTCCAGTTTCTTTCAATTACTTCGAGTTTGATACAACACTTTTCAACTTTTTAACTCTTATTTTCTTTCAACAATGACCCAAAAATTATTCACGTGCATATTTCATATTGTTATTATTATAAAATTACAAGGTAAAATTATGTAATGTTTAAAAAAGAGAGATAGATCTTCAAATTATGTAATATTTTAGAAAATAGAATACTATTACTCATTATATTGTTACCACATTTCCTTATTTTCTATCATTAGGATTTTTCATGTATTCTCTCTATATATACTTGATGGGCCGATATCCAGAGGACGGCCCAAATGAACCATTTAAACAGCTTCGGGTCAAGCACCTGTGGAATACTCAAGCTGGGCCGGCCCAAGGAGCTGGGCCTAGTTAACCTCAGGCCAAGCGGAGCTGGCAGAGTCAGTCCGGAGTAGGAGACGGAGCTGATTGGCCGTTACGGAGCCGGAAAAAGGGGATCGCGCCCTTGGCGGGCTAAACTCCATCGGTTACGCTTCACCTTAATTGTTGAGAGCTCGTGTATAAATAGAAGGGACCCGAAAGGGGAGGAAAGAGCTAAATAAAGCTAGTAATACACATCCAATTCTCGAATTCTTGTTCTTAATTTTGTTCTTGCGATCCGCTCT